ACTTGAGGGAGAGGGTCCACACGCTGGAGGTACACACACACACACACACACTTGAGGGAGAGGGTCCACACGCTGGAGGTACACACACACACACACCTCTGAGGGAGAGGGTCCACACGCTGGAGGTATACACACACACACACACACACACACACACACACACCTGAGGGAGAGGGTCCACACGCTGGAGGTATACACACACACACACCTGAGGGAGAGGGTCCACACGCTGGAGGTATACACACACACACACACACCTGAGGGAGAGGGTCCACACGCTGGAGGTACACGCACACTTTTCACGAGACATGTTTATTGTTATTAGACGTTTTATTCTGTTGACTCTAACGTTTGTCTCTGTCTGTCTTCAGGCGTCCAAACAGGCTGAAATCACCAAACTGCAGGAAGAGATTACAAAGGTAAAGTTTTATTGATCAGTTATTGATCGACTGAAAGGATTTTATTACTTTATAGATTATTAACAACTTTATAAAAACACTGTTGGAACATTAAATTCAATAAAGTCAATATCGTTTGTTCAGTATAAATATATATATATAAAATATATAATAATTTAATGATGATTTCCTTTCTCTCTGTCTCTGTCTGTCTCTCTCTCTGTCTCTGTCTCTCTGTCTCTCCAGCTGTCTGACAGGTTAAAGAAGAAGCAGGAGAGGTGAGACATCTACAGAATAATGAGAACAGAGTATTTGTACATGATGATGTGAGACGTTAGTGTTCCAGTTAAAGTAGAAACTTCACAACAAGTTTTTTTCTGTTTTGTAGTTTTCAGCGTCTGCAGGGAGAGAAGGAGGCTCTGTACAACGACAGCAGGTCAGAACTCTGCTTATACTGATTATACTACTAATAGTACTACTGCTAGTGCTACTGTTACTGTGACTTCTACTACCACTAGTAATACTACTATTGTTACTATTACAGCTGCTGCTGTCTGTATTATAACGCTACTGTTAATACCATTAATGTTCCTTACAGCTAATACTTGCTACTCATGATACTACTACCTCTTTGTTGTGTTGTACATCACATGTTGACGTGTTGTTGTTTGTTGTTTGCGTCTCTGCAGGACAAAGATCGATGAGATCAACCAAAGAAAAGAGGAGGAGCTTAAGGCCACGAACATCCGCATCCAGAAACTACATTCGGACGTCGTGGCAGCCAATCAGGTCTCAGTGACACCGAGAAGTACTCTGATCTATTACTGAAGTAAAAGTAGTAGTACCACAGTGAAGAAATACTCTGTTACAAGTTAAAGTCCTGCATTCAAAGGGTTACTTATGTTGGGAACGTAAAGGAGCGTGTTTGGTTATCAGCAAATATGAAACTAAACTATCAACATCAGTGGAGTTATTAACATCAATAAGTTAATTAGTAATTACTAATAAGGACGGGGCACCACCCTGCGGACAGGGACCAATAACCAAACTATAAACTAAGTCTCATAATTAGTGTTCACTCACGATATTAACAGTCTGAATACTATTACACGTTTGGAGTGAGAGTGAAGGTTTAAGTTCGAGCACGGGCCACTACATCCAGTTATTATTACACACATATGCACAAGTAATCACAGAAGACTGCTCTTTAAAATATAATAGTTTATTAAATCAAAATAATAAATGATCGAATCAGATAATATCAAAACCAACAACACTATCATACAATTATATGTCTAATACCTAAAATCAAATGAATAAAGTGGGGTAAGGATATGTATATATGTACGTGTGTGTGTGTGTGTGTGTGTGTGTGTGTGTGTGTGTGTGTGTGTGTGTGTGTGTGTGGAAAAGGGGGGAGCCACTCAGACAGTGGGGGGGGGGGGGGGGATCTCAAAACGGGGCGTGGACCTACGAGCAAAGATGGCTGAGTCTAAAGACTACGACAAGATGGCTGAGAGGGGCTACGTCGTGTAACCACGTGGGGTGACGCACACTGTGGGTTGGGACAATAGATGACTGAGATGGCCAGCAAAAATCAGTGAATCTAACCATGTGTGTGTGTATGTGTTAGTAGGGCGAGAGAGAGAGAGAGGGAGAGAGAAGGAAAACCGAGCTCTCACTGCGGTGCTCTGCGCCGCAGTGAGAACAGCTGATCTATCCGTAAACTCTGCGGTCGGGTTCTGAATCGACCGGTCACGCTTATACGGTGATGGTTACGGTTCTAACTCTCACTCACAGAGCCGATTTAAAGAAGAGAGAATAAAACCGAAACAAATAAAAAGAATCCCCAAACAAAACAGATCTTTATCACTGCGGTGAGATGCGAGTATTGCTTCCTTATCACCCCGAAACTCGGTCGGCGAGACGAGGGTTAGCCACCGTGGTTTTAGTTCTTAAAGTAATAAAATCACAAGCTCCACATCCACTAGCAGTGATAGATCTAATGCAAACAGTTACAGCAGGAAATACACAATATAACGGGATGCTTGCGCAATAACACGTTCTAAACACGAAAGTAACTTAACAAAACAAGATACAGGAATAACAACGGAATAAACTAATAATCTAAATTAAACTGCCCAGATACCAACATAACTCTTACTGTTAGAAGCTTCTTTTCGATGGACCGGTCCTCGAGTGGTAGGAGACCCTCGGTGGCGCTCTGCTGCGGAGCTTGGCGCAGACTCGACCTCCTCGCTGCAGAGAGGAGGTTTAACTTCGGCTGAGGGACGGGGGTGACTCGTCCGTTGCCGGAAATCTTCGGCTGGTAGAAAGGGGATTAGTCGCCCTTTTTGCCGGCAATGTGTACACTAAAGGGTGGGGGAACGGGTCGTAGAAGTTATCCGTTCTCGCACTACAGGATCCAAAACAAAAATATAAAACACAGTCTGTGGTTCGACCAGCGAATGTAACATGTGAGCTGATAGGATTTGATGAGGCAAGCGCTTCCTTGTGGAAGCTGTGCTCTGGCTTATAAACCAGGTAATACAACAAGTGGGGGGCCCTTTCTTAGCCAATGAGGGACCAGCATCAGGTTCCGGCTGGAGCTAGGAGGTGTGGTCATCCGGCTTGGAGTCTTTATCAGACCCCAGATCAGGCGCTTTGTGGAAAGGAAGGAGACATGGGCGCTTCTTTGGTTGAAAGCACATGTGAGCCAGGAGACCAGGGTCAGACCCCAACACTTAAATAAAAGTACAGAAGTATCAGCATCAACATATACTTAAAGTACCACAAAGTACTTATAATGTAGAATACTATATATTATACCATTGTCTTATAATTATTGATGCATTCATGTGTTCATCATCATTTTAAAATAAAAAAAATGTCCTCACCAGCGAGTTAAAAACAAAAAAATGAAACTGCTCATAATTCATCTCTAATATTTATTTTATATTTATGTAAACAAACAACTGGATTTATTCAAGTTTCTCATCAAAAACTTTACTTTAATCTTGTAAATTACTACATTTAAACATAACGTTATAATTTACCTTCGCGTAATACTCATTCTTACTGAAAAGAGCTTGAACGCATCACAGTGTTACTCAATGGAACCTCCGTTAACGTTAGCCGTTAACGAGCTTCGTTTTTCAGCCAAGCAGCACTGTGCTAGCAGCTAACCGCTAACGTTAACCAGCTCTCCAACTGCCGATTACGACACAGATGTCTTGTGCGCGATGTAGCGTCATCAGAGAGAAACTAGATATCGTATTAATAATCTGAAATCACATAGTCCGACAAGTAACTAAAGATATCAGATAAATATAGTGAAGAAGAAGTAATAAAGTAGTATGAAATATAGATACGCAATTAAAGTACAAGTACCTTAAAAAAATAGTGTGACTGACGTTGTGTGTTTTGTGTTTTTAGACAACAGCTGAGCTGAGAGAGCAGCTGCAGAGCAAAGAGAAGGAACATGACCTGGCTCTGCACACCTTGAGAGATCAGGTAACACACACACACACGCACACACACACACGCACACACACACAGGAAACAGGAAGAGGGAGTTAACAGAAGGAAACATCTGAAGAGAAAGAAAGACCCTAAATGTAGTACTACTAAGTGTAGTAAAGTACATTTACATCCAGACAGCGTGTTCTTTCTCTCCTCACACATTTGTTCATAATGAAGCTACAATATTGGCTCCAAACAAGTGTGAAAAAAAAACATTTTCCACAACAAGGCTGAGGAGGAGACGAGGAAACGGAGTGAGAGATGAGGAACTAAAAACTGACGACTTCAGGGTTTCCTGCTCTGCTCTTTCACTTGAACATATTTGTCTGCCAAAGTGATTCAGTCACGAAAACTTCATTTATATTCACAAGGGCTGCACAGTATCGAGTCACGTAACGTGAGGCGTTGAGAAGAAGAGCTGGAAAAACAAAAAGTCAGACGGAACCAACATTCCAGCTTTAAATCCGTCGAAAAAAAAAGCGCCTTAAATCAAACGTGTGGGCGCATTTTCACAAGATGGACGTCTAGTTTTATAAAGCGTGATGTTGAAAAGCTGAATATGTTCTCTCTTCAAGATAATCATCCACCCCATTATGCATGATGAACGTTACACAATAGAACTAACTGGATACGGTCGATGATGATAAAGAAACTTCTTTAGTTCGTTATATTAGAAATATTCTGATTAATAGTTGTAGAAACTGTGAAACCGTGATATTTTCCTCCGACAATAATTGTTTCTTTTTGCAACCAAATCTTCCTTTTGTTTTTAATAAATTGATCAAGAACAGTCGGTTGATGGTCGGCTGTTTATGCAGAGACTCTGAGTGATCGATGTTCCATCGGACTGACTTCTCTTGTCGATGAGTTGGGGAAAATAAGATCCGTGCAAAGTTTCATTGAGTAATGACGATACATTGTGCAGCCCTTTATTCAAAAAGTAAAATAAATGACTTATAAAAGAAGATATTGTATGTTTTCAGTGTCACTTTGGCAGTTAAAGCCTGGTGTGTTTCTGCCTGCTGCTCTCTGTGTTTCTGCCTTTATCCTGCTCTTGTCCTCCTCTGCTCTTTCTTCTTCTTGTCACTTTGGCTGTACTGTTCCCAATTTTCTTCTTTTGGTTCACGTTCTTTGTTATTCTTGCCTTTTTTATTTGTTTGTTTTATTTCCGGTACTCTTTGCTGGTGTCTTTCTGGGCTGGTCTCTCTGCTGTCCCCTGCCTGTGGTGCGTCTGTACTGCAGGTAGCCAATCAGAGTGCAATCAGTCAGGAACAGGTGGACAACATCCTGCAGGAGAACGATGCTCTAAGGACAAACCTAGCTGCTCTAGAACAGGTAATACTCCTAGAGAACATCACGTAGAACATCACGTAGAACCATAACACTACGTCTACTCCAAGGACTAACTTAGCTGCTCTAGAACAGGTAATACACCTGGAGAACATCATCCGGTAGTTTAATCCCCAAACACTGTTCTGTGGACTAACCCAGCTGCCATAAACAGGACATATACCTGGAGAACATTACATAGAACAATAACAAAATGTCATCTACAACCTCAACGCTACGACAATGAATATAGAACCTTAATGCTGGACCATTGGTTTAAAGAATAACATAGCAACCCTAGAACAGGTGCAGTGTATAAATAGCTAGAACCTAGCTGCTTCACACCCGATAATAAATCTGGAGAACATATCTAGTGATTTAAGGTCTGTGAACTAACCTAGCTGCTATAAAACGGGTACATCTCGAACATTACATCTAGAACCCCAACCGTACAACAGTGTTTTAAAACATAAATATGTTGCTACAGAACTTGTATTAGACTTGACTAGACGGATTTATGCAATCTGTAATTCTGTCTTTCAGAAATATTATCTAGAACCCATTTTACATCTAAAACACTAGCTTCCCCTAATGTTTCACTACTCAGACACTTGGATCCTAAACAGAATTTTCTAGAACACCTTACCCAGTTTGGACCTGTACCCCCATCTTGCAGGAGAACCGAGCTCTGAGGACTAATCTGTGCGCTCTTGAACAGGTAATTATATCTCAGACCCAACTTAGAACCCTTGCCTTAACCTTAGATTGATGGTCTGAAACCAATGTAGGCCTCAGTGACTTGCCACTTTTGTAAAATTTGCTTTAAACCTTCATCATTAAATAGCATTTCTAAAGTTTCAGGTCATGTTGCCTCTTTAACTCTAAACTGATGTCAGCATGCTAACGTTAGCTCTTTTACGTCAGCTTCACATCTGTAACGTTGCGTGTCCACAGAGGCCTTTTTGGACGTGAATGCAGCCTTTCGCCTGAATATTTAGAGACAACTAAACTACAACTAGTTTGTGAGATGCAACCTGTTTTTAATTTAATGATGCCTAAAACTCAACTTAAACTGAGCCAACTTTGAACTTTTGCAAAGCTGTTGCAGCCGATTCCAGTCCGTAAACAGTAACCCGACATCTAGAGAACTCGTAGAACCTCAACTAGAACCTGTGTATGTTCTCTGAGTCATTCATCTCCTTCTCATCTGCTTGATACTATGTTACTACGTTACTCGTAGAATCAATCGTTTTTTATTCGCCTCATTCGCTTCATTCATGCTGGAGAGGGGGCGTAGCTTAACTCCATGGAAGCCGTCATCAACTGAGCCCTTTATTTCCTGCATCAACATGGAAGAACCTGTATTTCTGCTCAGTACTTGTTGTAGAAGTCCCAGAGATCCAGATGAACTAAACGCCTTCTTGTCTGGTTCATGACATCATGTGGAGGAGTTCTCACTGTGTCTAGTGAGACACACGTCAGCTGGTTTACTTCAGCTCTATGAACCAAAATACACAGATTTTACTTTGAGCTCAATAAACTGATACAAAAGATGCTGAAATATCTACATGATGATGATTTGTAAAAGTCAGAATTCATGTTTTGTTAGTTCTCTCCTCAAGACGACAAGTAAACAACTTTTAAAATGTTTGTTTTCTGAATGGAGTCTGGTTCTATCGGTGCTATGCTAAGCTAATATTGTAGCAGCTCATCAACACTCAACATAACGTCATCTAGACGTTAATACAGCAGAGTAGTTTGTATCTGGTTTATTATACACACATGTATACACATAATTTGGTCTCTGCTCATAGTTTGGTCTCGGCTCATAGTTTGGTCTCGGCTCATAGTTTGGTCTCTGCTCATAGTTTGGTCTCTGCTCATAGTTTGGTCTCTGCTCATAGTTTGGTCTCTGCTCATAGTTTGGTCTCGGCTCATAGTTTGGTCTC